ATATTAAAACTAAACAACACCCCCATACACACACTTAATTCTTCTTTTGATTTGTACAGAGGGTGGTTTATGTAAAGATCAACTATTCCTATTTATTGTCCTAGTAATATATTCTTCCATTCTGCATTCCTCTAAAAAGTACTCATAGTGTTGCTCCGTTTGAGAAGTGTTGGGGACGAATGTAGTGGTGTGTCCATTGAAGGCCACTATATTGTCCACCTTGAGGTTTATGCATGATTGGCTTTTTCAGAGATGGCAATGGTGTCTCCCTTTTATCGCCAGCATACCTTTATGTTGGAGATGGTGGATCTCCTCATCGAAACAGTGAAAACATAGTTTTGATGAGCATGGAAGAGGGGAACAGTCCCCCCTCTATTCTTGGAAACCCATCTGCTCCTACTCCACAGGTTAGGTCTTTACAGTCATGAGACTATGTCTGAGTACAAGATGGTAACTCTATGCCATGGTATTCTCCCCTCTGGACTTGATAGCTGAATAAAAATTAATGTTATTCCAAGTAGGATAGTACTAAATCTGATCCTGTCAGTAGCTAGAAAAGTGGCGTATTGTCCCTGTTGTGGGAAGTACCCACTAGCAACATTGTTCCCTGAAAACTGCTGCAGAAGGAAACTTTTGTTGCAGCTGGGTTCCATATTGTTGGAAACAGTTTCCCAGAGGTCCCAGGCCTTTTCTCTGTTTGGAGATCACAACTGGCCGTCTACCTTCAACCTACCAGGACCCAACTAATAACAGGGTTGTAGTGTCAAGCAAAGTTGATACACATTGACTGGCTAAGATATAAATATATAGGGAGGATTTCAGATTTTGATCTGCTTCTCTATTCAAGACAAAGTCCCTTTCCTGAAGAATTTCAATGACCAACCAGCAGTTCTAGAAACTAAAAAAATACTAAGCCACAAAGGTGAAGGTTAGGCACACAATGCCAGCTGTAGCCTTTTTGGTTTAAGGTAGACCCATGAGCATTGTTTTTGGTATTTTATTAATAATTTAAATTTCAGGAATACTGTGCCAACAGTTTAAGATTATTTTGCAAAATATTGAGGTTTTTCCTAATGTTTTAAAATTGATTTCTTTTCAAAATCTCTTGCCCTGATTTACATGATAATTAGGCATTTTACATTACAGGCTTCAGTTCAGTTCAGAGCCCCATCTTGGCATGTGCAATAAATAGACCAAGGTTGTTAAGGGAAACGCATTGTTTTTTCCCCCCACCTTATAAAGCCCTCAAATCCAACAACACTCAGCCATATTCCTCATATTATTCATCTGCATGGAACTGTTGAGAGGGCTAATGTGACAACACAGGTTGACAAGCCAGTAATATGAATGTTGGACCTGGACCTAATTAGCACTCCCCAATTAATGGCTGACCCAGTAGTCTGGTTCCAAGTGGGGTGATCTTTGGCCCTGCACTGGTTAACATATTGACTACGCATATCTATCACCACCCTATCAATCCGGCATCCGCTTGTACTATGACTAAATAAGGAAACTCACACACTGATGTGTAATTGAAATAAATTAATCAGTTTATTAATAACAGGTAAATATAAATAACTTGGACAACAGATACATCAAATAACAGCACTGACTAGAAACCAAGTACACACCCAATAAAACTATTCCTATAACTCCTAAAATCTATACCTAACTAATCTAATACCTATCTTGCAATTCAATTTTTATAGGGGCACAATAAAACACTATAACCTTGGAGGCAATATTGACTCAGGTATGGGGATGAACTTTATTATATGAGGGGAAAACTTTATTAAATACTGGATTTCTGCTGCTCAGGGTCACAGTGAGTGTAGATAACACCAAGGGTGATTATCTGATGGCTTCTTACGTTCTGCTATAGGGAAGGGAGGAGAAGGGAATGAAGGGGAGAGCAAGAGCTGGTGATACTTACACTGGAGGGCAGAGGGCTGCTACTTAAGCTCTTTGAGCATCCAGGGAGAAAATCCAGGGAGCCAACCCTAACCACTCTCATTGGGAGATCACAACCAGGAGACCAGCAGCGTTGAGGACAGGTGGAATCTCAGGAGTAGGAGCTGGTGGGGATGACGGCCAGCTCTATGGCGGCCTCACTGCCAATGGTGTCCTCAGTTCGTTGGACATCCACAGTCGCGGCATAGCCCAAGGCACAACACCACACAACGGTCACCCACCCAACGCACCAATACTCCACCAAACCACTTCCACTTCGTTCATTCAGCACATTTCTATCACTTTCTCACACACACCAAATCAACAGACTCAGACAATGACAGTCTCTCTCTTGCTCACAGGACCCTCTCAGTACGCAGACCGACATGGGCCGAGCCAGACCAGCAGACGCACACACCTGGCTTTATATACTAAAAGTGCACATAGCTCCACTGGGTTGTGCACACGACACAGTTTTGTGTACTAGGCACTCTCTCCCAGCATCTTCTGAGCTTAACTAAGCATGCTCCCAAGTAGGAAGGTCATCCGAAGTTCAACAAATGACCTACTTAGGCTATTTATCTGTGCATATCGGCTGCTTCCCAAAACAGCCAAGCAGGTGAGACTAATTGACAGTGCCATGGACTCAGAACTAACCTTATCTCCAACATGAAGATGGCAGTCCGATTTATACTTTCTCTGCTTCAGCTGCTCATTTTTTCTCTGCCCACCCACGTGCACGTGAGATGAAATCCTGACTTTATTGAATTCAGTGTCAGAACACCAATTGAATTCGGTAAGACCCAGATTTCACCCACACTGACTGATGTGCTCCTCCTACAAGCAAGAAGGAAATGAAAAACTTATTCTTGGATTCTGTAACTGGTGTCCAAATATGGGTTTTTTTGTTCAGTTATCCTTTTGTTTTTCTGTTACCATATTTTCTTGCATACAATGCACCTTTTCTTTCTAAAAAAATCAGGATGCATATTTTAAGCAAGGAAATGTGGTAATAACAGCTCCTGCTGCTCAAGCTTCTGCCCGGGGAAAAAAACAGGGCTCGGTCCTTGGACCGGTACTCTTCAATGTCTTCATCAGCGACTTGGACGAGGGAGTGAAGTGTACTCTGTCCAAGTTTGCAGATGACACAAAGCTATGGGGAGAAATGGACACGCCGGAGGGCAGGGAACAGCTGCAAGCAGACCTGGACAGGTTGGACAAATGGGCAGAAAACAACAGAATGCAATTCAACAAGGAGAAATGCAAAGTGCTGCACCTAGGGAGGAAAAATGTCCAGCACACCTACAGCCTAGGGAATGACCTGCTGGGTGGCACAGAAGCGGAAAGGGATCTTGGAGTCCTAGTGGACTCCAAGATGAACATGAATCGGCAGTGTGACGAAGCCATCAGAAAAGCCAATGGCACTTTATCGTGCATCAGCAGATGCATGACGAATAGGGCCAAGGAGGTGATACTTCCCCTCTATCGGGTGCTGGTTAGACTGCAGTTGGAGTACTGCGTGCAATACTGGGCACTGCCTTTCAAGAGGGCTGCGGATAACCTGGAGAGGGTCCA